ACATCAAGGACAGATGTATGGATACCAAAGGGGAAGGGTGGGGTGGGGAGAACTGGGAGACTGGCATTGACACATTTACGCTATTGATACTATGGAAAAAATAGGAAACTAATGAGGACCCACTCTACAGGGAAGTCTGAGCAGTGCCCTGTGGTGACCTAGATGGGGAGGAAATCCATGAAAGAGGGGGTACATGTGTATGTGAAGCTGATTCACTTGGCTATACAGTAGAAACTAACAAAACATTGTGAAGGAACTATACTCCAATAAAAATTAAGGAAAAAATACAAAGCTGTTCTTGAAAAGTCAGAAAAATGTTCTAATCGAATGTCTTGGGGAAATATTCTTAGAATTAAAAAAAAGAAGATAAAAAGAAAATCTTTCTTGGGTTTGTTTTTAAGAACCAGGGAACCTATCAAGGATTGCAAGGTAATTCCTACTAAACAACCTGTAGATAAATGTGGTGTGGCCACCATGAGCCAACTTTGTGTTTGCAGCAGGCTGCGAGTTCCCACCTGACTCATGGAAAATGTATTCAGCTGCTTAAGATTAGTTTTTACTCACACTTTGTTAGAACAACAGCTTGGGGTTTTTAGCCTTTTAATGGCCAGAAAAAGAGATTACCAGTGATAAACTTTTTTTTTTTTATCTCTCATGCTTTTTTGACTCATGGCTGAACCAGCCCTTGCTTTGCATTCAAAATAATAATAGTAAAGATCCACATAAAACACACTTATTAAATACTTACTGCTTGAGAGATAGACCCAGTACTTTTAAGTTATCTCATTTAATTACAACAATTTAGTGCAATGAGAGGCATTGCTCCCATTTCTTATAGATGAGGAAACTGAGGCTTACATCCAGAGAAATGGGATGACTTACTCAGAGCTCCACATACCTGTGCGTGGGAAAGGAAGATTCATTGACAAGCATTTTGACTCTGAATTCCATCTTCCTTCCCCCAAGAGGAGATGATGTTGTGGAGCTCATGTAAAGTGCAGAGCCTGAGTAAAAGCTACAGCGAGACCCAGAAATAGAGAGAGGGCCCCCCCCCCACGTTTTCACTCAGCATCCTACCCGCCTGTGACCCTCCTGGGAGAAGCAGCAGAAAGAAACAAAAAAATAGCTGCTTTCCGAGACTCAAAAGTTTGGAGCCCACATCTCTTCCTCCTTCAGCTACTCACCAAAACAGCATCCTCTCAAGCGTCAAAGAGAAGCAACCTAGTCTTCTCCATTTGTTTATTATCAATCGAAGGTGACTCCAATCATAGGAGTTCCATTTTTCTCTCCTTAGAACCAGCTCTCTCCAGGGAAGGCTACGAGTGGTAACAGTGCAGACTAAGAGAATGATATTTTTTACACACCCGCATGGCCTGTGGCACCCTTCCATCCAGGACACATTCATACACTATCCATGCCCTGAAGGTTCTGCAGTATCTATGAATTTACAGGAGCCCTTTCCCTTAGATGAAGCTGCAGGCATTCGTAAAGAAGGAGTTGTTGCGGTGATGACATCTTTTGTCTTCTCTCGTTGGTGGGCTGCTTGTTTTTTTTTGGTGCTAACCACTCTGATTTCCATACATCCTCCAAAGCCTACGTGCCATCTCTGGGAAGCGTCCCTGATCATTCTCAGAAATCCTCACCACTAGGCAGGGTCAGTAATAAATACAGAACATTTCACATGCCTACGGTATGGTATAAGGATTCAACACATTAGAGACAATTTTGGCTTTAAGTCTCCTAATCCCCCAGCTAGACTATCAGGAGGAGCAGAAGGACTGTGATTTTATTCACTTTGCACTCCTTACCCCAACATGTAATAGGTGTTGAGTGAACATGGGATGAAAGGATAACTGCCTGATGAATGCACTGTTTGCATTTCTGCTTCCTTGTACTTGTTCCTGATGTTTTCATCACTGAAGTTCCTTTCCCTCTCTCCTTACTAGGTAGGAAGTCTTGGTCATTACTTACACAAACATTTATATAAAATGTTCTTCCAGTTAGTATATTCAGTGCTATGCTCAGAGTTTCTCAAGTAATATTCATTAAAACAATAGATGCCTCACTCACATTTCCAGGGATGTTGCTCTAGCTGCTCAGAGCAACCTTTTATATTAGTCAATATGGATCGATGGAAACTTATGAAAAGGCTGACCTCACAATGTGAAAGAACTGGACTACAAATCCATGTTTATAAATTGGTCCTTTCAAATACAAAATTTTCCACAGGGATTCTTTTATAAATGATGGTTACAGTTCAGGCCTACTCAATAAAATTTTACCCCCTCTAGACAAAAATTAATGGAACCAACCAGAGTTGTGTGCCCTCAAAGTAAGATGAAGAGAAGAAAGAGAATTTCCTCCCTGCTCTTGGGCACCCAACTCAGGGCACCCAAATTTATTCCTTCCTTTTAGTGCCCTTATGCCCAAAGTGAAACAAATATTTAACTCTCCCTATGTTCAGTTACAGAGTTATGGAGTTCAACCCAGGACACTTTTAATCTTTGAGATTCTATAACCTTGACATTTTCAATTTTTCCTAGGCAAAATCCAACTTATCTCAACTAGATATTAGAAGAACAAATAATTAATCCACATTAAGGTGTAAATGACTAGTAGCCATTTATGAAGTATTTACTTTTTAATAGAGAATATCTGTTTACCTAAATGAATATATACTTCTAAATTGGCATAATTTTAGTAACTATGACTTTTTTAAAAACTGAAAAATCAGGAAAGTGTAGAGAAATCCTTCTGGGTGAAAAAGAAATAGGTCAAACCTCTCTGGTAACTTAGCCCTAGTTTCTATTAAATTATTCCTTATTTTCATCTTCTTTTGTTTTGTAAACTACAGATTTCTAAAAGTGCCAAGGGTTTATTTTGTCAATTTAAATTGGGTTGGGTTTAGGTTTTAGCTTATTATCAAAGGTGAGGCTCAGGTTGACACTGAGCATTTTCTATCAGATTCTTTGGGAGCAGAATGTGAATTGATTTCATTAGCCCCCTAGAAATTAGTCTCAATACTCTCTGCTTACAGCTTTAAGTTATATAATATTCACCCATTCATGTGTCCACCTGTTTTCTTACTCATCAGACATTTACTGTCTGCCTTCTGGAAGGTATGAGGGTTCACACTAGTGAACAAGATGACGCCAGACAGGCCTTATCCTCAAACCACTGACAAACCGGCGGAGAAGACAGATAAGTCAACATGTCGTTATAATGCACAGGGCAAAACCTACATCCAAAGCACCAAAAGAGCACAAAACCAGGGAACAGCCAATCGCCCAGGCAAGTTAGGAAGGCCCCACGGAGCATGTGGCATTTGCTTGTGGGTGGATGCTGAGACCCCTGTGAATGGAAAGATAAGAAAGGGATTTAGTTCATACAGTTCTGACTATAAAAGGAGAAGATAAAGAGGGTGTAGAGCCAAAAACCTCAGATAGGGAGAATAACTGCCCCCCCCCCCCGGGGGGGAGGCAAAGAGACCACTTAAGACCCTCTTTTCCCCAGTGTTGCCTTTCATAATCTGGCTAATTGAGACTCATCCTCCTCACAGCACCGCTTCACCACTCCTTAGATGTGTGTGCTCAGCCAGCTCTCCCAGACCCTAGATGCAGCTCTCCTGGGAGACTGCTGCTGCTGCCAAGTCGCTTCAGCCGTGTCTGACTCTGTGCGACCCCATAGACGGCAGCCCACCAAGCTCCCCCGCCCCTGGGATTCTTCAGGCAAGAACACCTGGGCAGACTAGAAGTGTCTTATTCCCGTTCCTCTTCTTACCCTGGACACTTTGCTACAAGGGGAAGCAATCTAGGGACCCATGCTCTTCTAGGGACACACTCCTGGTGGAGCAATGGGGTCTTTAGCCAACATCCCTCCCCTGCCTGGCCAGCCTTGCCGATGCCTAGGGCTGCCTTTCAACTCAGAGCGTGCCTGTGCCCCATCCTGCCATGTGACCCTCACAGCACCTTCAGCTTCCCTCCAAGGGTTTTTAGATAGACTCTTGTCTACGGCAGAATATGATGCTTCTCTAAATCACATCAATGAGAAGCTTGATTGTTGATTATGTAAAATATTGGAGCAAATATTTGCAGAGGTCTTTATGGAGCTCATTTCAGAGCATCTGATTCTTCCTAAAATCCTAAAGAACGGCTGCTGCTGCCTTGAACCTTGACAAAACACATTTTATTGTTAATCCTAAGCTAATCTATTTATTTTACATCCTTTATTAAACAAATGGTTAATTGAGATTAAGCTCCAGAAATGGCTTGTGGGCACAAAGTTAGGAGATTCAGGCCCTTTCGCTACACTGAGCTGGAAGTTAAAGAGTAAGTGGTGACTGCATGTAACAACCTGGAAAACCAGACAAAGAATGCTGTTCCCCAAAGCCTTTGGCCTTCCCTTTATCCACTCTTAAATCCATTCCTCAGGCAAATCCTTCCTCAACCTAGAGGCAGCGATCCCAACCACTTAAGAGAGGATGCTAATAATCTTTATACCTAAGATTGTGACATGAAAGGAATGGTTCAAAGAATAAGGTACAGATATGTCACATTTCTGAGGTTTAAGACAATTAGCTTTGCTTACCTAAGGAAAATCTCAAGTCTTTCTGAGTAACTAATTTAATTCAGTAGTATTTTCTGAGATTTGTAACTAATTTAATTCAGTAGTATTTTCTGAGATTTATATTATGTTTTGTAATCTAGGATTTACTCTTAGAAAAAAAGTCAAAGGACCTATGTGAGTATTCACCTAGGAACTCACTTCCACTGATCTGGGGGATATTTATCATTCCCTAGAAAAGCAATGTGTTCTGAAACTTAATTTAAATGTGCAGTCTTAGATTTTTATCTGCTCACAGCTTTTCTCCAGAAAATATGATCTTATTTCTTTTCCTAAAACTAAAGTTAAGGTACTGTATTTATGAATAAGAAATAAAACTATTTGTTTACAACTGGAAGTTTCATTTTTTTCATCTTTCTCATTTTTATTTTTTCTAGGTGCATTTGGCATAGTGTCTGAGACTGACTAACCCAAGAGATCACAATGATCCTCAACTCTTCCACCGAAGATGGTATTAAAAGAATCCAAGATGATTGTCCCAAAGCTGGAAGGCACAATTACATATTCATCATGATCCCTACTTTATATAGTATTATCTTTGTGGTGGGGATATTTGGAAACAGCTTGGTGGTGATTGTCATTTACTTTTACATGAAACTGAAGACTGTGGCCAGTGTTTTTCTTTTGAATTTAGCTCTGGCTGACTTATGCTTTTTACTGACCTTGCCACTGTGGGCTGTCTACACTGCTATGGAATACCGCTGGCCCTTCGGCAATTACCTGTGTAAGATCGCTTCAGCCAGCGTCAGTTTCAACCTCTATGCCAGTGTGTTTCTCCTCACATGTCTAAGCATTGACCGCTACCTGGCTATTGTTCACCCAATGAAGTCCCGCCTCCGGCGCACGATGCTTGTGGCCAAAGTCACCTGCATCGTTATTTGGCTGCTGGCAGGTTTGGCCAGTTTGCCAACTATAATCCACCGCAATGTATTTTTCATTGAGAATACCAATATCACAGTTTGTGCTTTCCATTATGAATCCCAAAATTCTACCCTCCCGGTAGGGTTGGGCCTCACCAAGAATATATTGGGATTCTTGTTTCCTTTTCTGATCATTCTTACAAGCTACACTCTTATTTGGAAGACCCTCAAGAAGGCTTATGAAATTCAGAAGAACAAACCAAGAAAAGATGACATTTTCAAGATAATTTTGGCAATCGTGCTTTTCTTTTTCTTTTCCTGGGTTCCGCACCAGATATTCACTTTTATGGATGTGTTAATTCAGTTGGGCCTCATCCGTGACTGTAAAATTGAAGATATTGTTGACACAGCCATGCCCATCACTATTTGCTTGGCTTATTTTAACAATTGCCTGAATCCTCTCTTTTATGGCTTTCTAGGGAAAAAATTTAAAAAATATTTTCTACAGCTTCTGAAATACATTCCCCCAAAGACCAAATCCCACTCAAACCTGTCCACAAAAATGAGCACACTCTCCTACCGCCCCTCAGAAAATGGAAACTCTTCTACCAAGAAGCCTGCCCCATGCCTTGAGGTTGAGTGACACCCTTGAAACCTGTCTGCGAAGTCACCTTAAAGAAGGAGCAAGAAAAGCATTCTTGTACAACACCTCACTGCCGAATGAGCATGGGCTACATTTCAGAATTAAAGGAGAAATAGATCATGTGGACTGAACTGAGGCATCTACAGCTCTGAGCAAAAGTTCTGTCCCTTTGCGACTCAACAACGCAAAGCCACATTCTGCCATGTTTTGCATTAGACAGGTGATGCCCACTCAAAGAACGGATGTCAGAAACTGGATGAAAGTGTTGATTTGGGAATTTTACTGGGAGAAGTGTCCTCTCCCTAGGCTGCTCTTGTTCTGTTATTTTTGATTTCCACATGAAAGTACTTAGAATATGTTAAACCTCAAGAGGAGCAACAGGAGAGAAGAGCTTAAGACTGCCATGCCCAATTTCCAAAGGACAGCAAAGCTTTCATGCCTATTTAGCTGTTAGCAACCGCGGCCCACTTGTACCTGCTACCGCACATTTCATACAAAGACTCGCTAAGCGGTAGTTGTCAGGTTTCAGAAGCTTTCATGAAATGCAGCCCGTGTCTTATAGATTCACACTGCCAAAATATGCCAGCTGAGTGGCTTATTTGTATAATAATGTTACCGTAGTCATGTATAAAAATTAAATTACTTGTAAAGGTGTTATTCCAGTCCCAGGTAGTCATGTTAGTTTTAGTTCAGATCTGAGAAGTATATATATTTTGTGGTGAAAAGATTATATATCATAAAATATGCCTTACTGTTTTAAAAAGTATATATTCAACCTGTGCATGTATCTCTCTAAACTGCTGTTATCTTATTAAAATTTGGCAAAGTTATATTCACATTAAAATAATGTTATTGCAATGTATTTAATCTTCATTACTTAAAGTAGATTGTTGGTTTATTTTTAAAACAAGACAACTGTGAATAAGTATAAATGTATTTCCATTTAATTAAATCTTGATACAACTGATAGTTTAATACTGTTGGTTTTAGATTTAATATCCTGCCATTGAAAATACAAAGAACACACTTTCTTCCACTGTACAACATGGAATAAATATACCATTTTGAGTTTTCCAAAGTTTGTCATGCAACAAAGAAAAAACTCGTTCCTTAGAACACTAAAATAATACATTATTTTACACAAAATTTTAATAGGGTTTTTCTATTCACATGCATGATAATTGTAACAAATATAGAACATATAAGAATATATAAGAAAAAAAAGTCGTATCTAGTTCTCCTGCTCAAAAATTACCATTTTAACATTTGAGTACCTTGTTCTACTTTTCTTATATTCATTATACACACATACATGTTTAAATCATGATACTGAAATCATAATGTATTTTGTATGCAAATTTTCCATTTAATGACATAGCATAGCAGTTTGCTACACCATTAAATTTTTTTTTCTAAAACAATTTAATACTTGTTTTAGAAAAACAGTTACTGGGTCTTTTTGTAGGGGACTTCCCTGGTGGTCCAGTGGCTAAGACTCCATGCTCCCAGTGAAGGGGACCCAGGTTTGACCCCTGGTCGGGGAACTAGATCCCACAAGCTGTAACTAAAGATCCTGTGTGCACAACTAAGACTGGGTACTGCCAAACAAATAAATGCAAAAATAAATAAGTAACTGTATAACATTACAAAATATAGACACACAAGTTTGCTAGTATTCAAATTTTTGAGCATTTAATTTTTTCTGATTTTTCAGTATCATGAATTGTATTGTACATAAACATTAAAGTACACAAATCTGATAAATCCTTTCTGATACACTCCTAGAAGCGGTATAAATGATTATACAGATATGAACATTTTTAATATTCTTAACATACCTTTTACCAAATATCTTCCAGAAAACGTAACTGTTTTCAGTGCTCCCATGTCTCACCATAGCCTCAGCAGCAAGGAGTGTTTATTAGAGTTCAGCAGAAAAGGAAAATGTACCGGAAGGCTGCAAGTGCGATGTGCAAAAGCAGGGATGCAACTGCATTGAAAAAAGTGCTGTGATGCTTCTCCTGCCCTTGGCAGCGGCCTCATCCTAGAGCCCATTGTTCTGGAGAATCGGCACAGAGCAGGTGGAGGTACTCATCTGACTCCATCAACAGTGGCCAAAGGCCAGTGTGATAAATGAAGGAGCTGATGGGAGGTGTGGTGGGGGAGCATTGGAGAGGCCTTGGGGGTTGCGCAGAATTCATGGAGCATCACACTATGTTCACATTCCCAAGGAAACAGTTATGCAGTAAATAAATGTGGTCACATGTGCCTCATTTTCCTCTTATATGATTTTTTAAATTTCACTGATATATAATACCAGCCGCTAACTCCAATCACTTCTAAAAAATAAATTCTAGCTGGGCTCAAATTATAGCATGCTGCTGCCGCTACTAAGTCGCTTCAGTCGTGTCCAACTCTATGCAACCTCGTAGACGGCAGCCCACCAGGCTCCCCCGTCCCTGGGATTCTCCAGGCAAGAACACTGGAGTGGGTTGCCGTTTCCCTCTCCAATGCATGAAAGTGAAAGTGAAAGTGAAGTCGCTCAGTTGTGTACAACTCTTAGCGACCCCATGGACTGCAGCCTACCAGGCTCCTCCGTCCATGGGATTTTCCAGGCAAGAGCACTGGAGTGGGGTGCCATTGCCTCCTCCGAATGATAGCATAAACTTACCCTATTTGAGTTCCCTCCACGTCCGCTGTGTAACAGTTCATTTTTTATTCAATAGTCATTTAAGCCAAATGATTACCAGTACTTCAAACTTGCTACAACATTTTATAAGTCATAGCTGATAATATTTCTTGTACATATTAATAATTGTACTCAGATACCCTCTATCTCACGTGTTGATTAACTGGTGTAAATAAATTTCAGGTCTTGTTTTCACTTTTATTTCATCAAATTATATAGTGATTTTCCCCACCCCATTTTGTGAAATAGATATTGATAACTTCATGATTAATCTTGCTTTTTCAGTGAGACCAACTTAATATTGAAGTTGAAACTACTTAACCTAAATCTTAAGATGGTATGCCATGGTTTATTATTTATAAACATATTTAGAGGTTAGGTGGATTATATCTTAGAATATTCTGTAAATTAATAAGAAAGGAATATTCACCACGAGGATCTAGGTGCTCAATGGAACTCAAGTGCAATATATGTATTTGTATATTCCTATTTACATTTCAATCCTAGTTTCCCCCATGATAAATTCATTTTTTCAGCCAATAATTGATCAATTCATGGATTCAATAAATTTTGTATGGTTGCCTATTCCATGCTAGGGGACTGGAGTTATGTAACATACAGCTTAAAATGCACAGCAGACATTTCAACCAGCTGTTATGGGCAGTATGGAAGGAAGCCAAGCGAGAAGTAGCTTGACTGGCGATCCACGGAAAGTCCACGGAAAGAAGGGAAAATAGACTCGGACAGGTCACGAAAGGGAAGTGAAGTGAGTGAAGAAATGGAGTCCCAGGGGATTTTAAACACTGGTATAAAGGATGATTTCCCTGAGAGCAGTGACGAAAATTAATCAAGAGCAGATAAAATATGAAAAAATTGAGAAGTGGCAGAGGCCTGGGTGCAGCCACAAACTGCCTCAGAAGTCAGGGTGCAAACCTCCAGGAGAGCGGCATACAGACGCTTAAGTCACGAGAACCATGGTGGGTCCACTGGATCCAGACCAACCAGAGGGAGAAAGAATCTAAATATCAGGGAGGGAGGCAAGTGATAAACAGCAGATAATGGTATGGGGGAAAATTCAACAAATTTTATGTATTGCAGGCTGCATTTGGGGAAAGAAAAAGTCCTCTGAATTATCCACTGTTGGTTTTGATGAGACTGAAAATGAATGTAAAGGGGAATGGAAGAGTTGGGATATTGAAGATGACGATCAGAGAGCCAGACTCTCCAAATTTAACAATGTGACTAAATCAGTTAGAATATGAGATTCATAACTGCAGCCACTCTTGTTGATGGATTTGTATAGAGGACACTGTGGAATTGTCTGTACGATGTCCCTCTCCTCTTACCATGGGAATTTCCCAACTCACCCAAGAATATGTCCATTTTCCTACCTAACTCTATCCCCAGGCCATAGTTCATCAATAAGGCTTGAAATGAACTATTCACAGCCTTCTCCCTCAGGACTTTTTAAACAGACACTGATGAGTTGGTCCAACACCAGTGTTGAAAGTTACTGAGAGAGAAGTTGTGTGGTGTAAGCTTGGGATCTAATAGCAACCATGTTGCCACTCTGGATAAATCTAGTCTCTACTGAGAGTGAGGTTAACAGAGCAAGAAAGTTCTAGAGATACCTGAGTCCCTGAATCTTTCTGTGCTATATGCCCAGCTCTGTCTCTGCCCACCTTATACTTAGAACCAGGATTCATGTCTCTAATTAGGACAGAATATAATATTCTGGAGCTGAGATCTGCATGGGTTCCTTCTTACTTCACCAAGACGAATCTCCATTCTGTTACGGTCAATACATCACCCACTGACGATCCAGCAAGAAGATACCAGTCTAGGCTCCAAATATCTTGACCTCTATCTTTAATAAGGGATCATGTGGATTGTCCTTTTTTCACAAGTGTCCTTATGAAAGGGTGAGGGCCAGAACACCCAGTAGTGTGTTAGAGGGGAAGTATGTGTTAGAGGGGAAGAGGTGTGCTGATAGAGGACCCAAATTTAGCCGGGACTAAGGGTACTACATACCCACTAGTGTAAATGATTATAAACGGAGATCTTCCCCTCAGGTGTCACACTGATAAAACACTCTTCCCTTGCCCAAGAAATCATAAGTATTAAGTGAACCATTAAATATAAGTAAAGAGAGGAAATGAGCACCCTGAACCTCCTGCTCAAATATATGGTGTACGTGCTACCTGGACCCTGCCTTCTCTCCGTGATCTGGATGTTCTCCAGATCTAACAGACCTTGTGAACACTGCATCCTACCCTGTCCAAATAAAACAGAAAAGGCCTTCATTCAACAAGTCCACCCACCTTACTTGAGAAATAAGATAACTGAATTTTCACAATCAGAAAGAGGCAGAATTAGGTTACTGTCTTTCCCCTACCACCACCAAAGGAAAAACAAAAAAGCCTTAGAATGTGAGAACTTAGCTTTATTAATATTTAATTCTAAGT